CAGTAGTTGGCTTTGTGCAAAAAATTCAATAAAAATTGTTGAGAGTTGCGTTTGTCTTTTTTTAGTATAATCAAAAATATTTCGTAACCTGAACTAACAGGGAGGAATTAAAGCCATTAAAATATAAAGTCATAGAAATAAATTTTGATGTTTAAGAGACAATTTAATGAAAATATAAGAAAATTATATACAAATTCTATATATTTTTTTTACAAATTTTGTATGTAAAAAAATATATATATCAAAATGTTATATATTTTAATAAATGTATACATTTATAAAGAATTCGAATATGATATAGATCGAAGATAAATGATCGAAGATAAAGAAAACACTTGACAACTGCTAGCTCATCTAAACAGCCACAGCTTGACAGTCAGTCGCCCATACAGCACGGACTAAGAGCTGTATATATTAATTACCTATATTCATTTTAATATAATTAATAAAATTTAATTAACTTGCCATTTTCGGAGAAATGTTTAAATTAATTTTCAGTTCATATCATTTCTCTTTGGTTACACAACTGATTTATTAATAGGCGCCGCTGTCGCTGCCGCTGCCGTTGCTCACGCCCCTTCGCCTACCCCTCCACGTGGACAGTCACCCGCACAGATAACTTCCACATTTGGCCACAATAATGCGGCCCAGGCATCACATTCATGCAGTGCAACTGTGCGACCACAGACAGCGCTGCTGGCCGTTCTCTGTGGGTGGCTGACTAACTGGGCACTTAAATATATAGGTGGGTAGGTGGCAACAACTATAGCCATATGCGTGGGTGGCATGAGTAATGAGCGCTTAATAAGGCGCCACTGACATATTGTACATCATGTATGTATGTGTATTAAAATTTACATATGTGAAAATATTTATGCACATTAAATATGCGCGAATGAGTGCAACAGTTTGGCATTATTTTTTTTATTTTGTTGCCTTTTTCTTTTTGAAAATTTCATAAATCATTGCTGTGTTAAAAACGATGAGTCGACGCCGCGTTTGCTGTCAGGTCCACAGCCTGCAGGCAGTCAGCTCATATATCCTGTCCATGCAGCGAGCTGAGGCGAGCATGACGTGCTCGTGGTTTGACGGGTCACAGAGTGGGGTGGCGTGAGGTGGGGTGCACACCTCGTCTTAACTTATTTACACATGTTTAAAACGCAAATGAGCCGTAAAGCGCTGATAATGCAACAAACAGACAATTGACGTGTATAACTATTGTGCGACAGGGCTGGGCAAAATACTAAAAAAAAACAGCGAAAAAGTTTATTAGACTATGACATACTGTGCTCGAAGAGAGAGAGAGAGCTTATTTTAGCAAACTGTGTTCAAGCTGAAGAGTTGGTTTGATGATGGCAGTCGGCAGAGTTTAGCTGACTAAGACATATGCTCTGCTTGATTTACGTTCATTTTAGTGGCATACGCTATTTAAGCCCTTTGACAGAGTATATCAGACTTCTACAAACTGTGTTCTGAGCTTTAAGTTAAATAAGTGTTTAAGGGCAAGTACAATAATCTAAGCTGTTGTCTAAAAGTTATTGTTACAACAGAGTTTACCTGACTGATACATTATGTTCCCTGTTTCTGTATAGCTAATATTGGCATACTCTGTTTTAAGCTTCAAGCTGAGGCTGAGGCTGCGTCAGCAAAGTTTGTCAGACTATGGCATACGCTGTTTAGCGCTTTTTAGCTCACACTAAGTATTTCAGAGAAGTTTGTTTAACTACTCAGAGCTGACATAAGACATCCGATATATATCGAATTTTAAGTAATTAATTAGAAAAGCTAGCAATATCCTTACTTAAAATGTTATTTAAACTCCACTGGAGCCTCCTTTCACATATGAAAGACGGTTTCATACATATGTAAAACAACATAAAATCGATTCAACTGTTGATGTCTAATAGTTAAGTATATATATGTAACCCATACATATACCATATAAAATCAGTCTTCTACTCTGCTTCACATGAAACTACCTACCGTCTACAGCTTTTGCCCGTTTCAATTCGTGCACAACTTTCCGCCCAATTACAATTGCGCCTTTCGTTCGCTGTTTCACACATAGCGAGTATTTACTTTATTTTCTTAATGGCATCAGCTTTTCAGATTGCAAATTGCTTTGTGCGCTCTCGTGCTTGCCTCAGCCAAAGAAACCGCGAAAGTATTTCATATCACGCGAACTCTGCTCGCAGATAGAGTCATTTCTTTTGTTTTTTGTTTCTTTTTTTTTTGAGTTCAACTGTCCATTTGTTCAACTGTCTGTTAGTCTGTCTGCCTGCCTGTTTGGCTGTATCTGTGTCTTATGCCTGCAGCAAAACGCTGCGAGGCAAGTCAAATGATGCGTTCGCATCCCGCATCCTGTCGATGAGTGGCAGGAATCGTAAACCTTCTGTGCATGGTACATATCTCTTGCATATCGCAGCCACCCAGTGCCCAAACAATGGCATAAAATGTGTTACGGAAACCACAGCTGAGTGCACCACCAGAGAGATAGAGACAGATGCAGCGCGCAGAGTTTTAAATCGCAGCCAATTCCAATTCCAGCGGCCACCAGGCTCAATAACGCAGGCAATAAAATTTTAACGTAAATGCTGCACATTTAAGAAAAAAAGAGCTCCAATTGAGGTTATTCTGCTTTTGCGTTGGTTTTGTTCAAGTTAATCAACAGACATACGCAATTTGATCGAACTGCGAGTCACAGGAAGTCCGCCGATTGGATAGATTCTTCACTGTGCACAAAAAGCTGAAGTAATTGTAAAATCGCATGGTCACCCTGAAAACATATGCAGTGCAATTTAATAAAAAAAATAAGAGGAGATTTATATTGTGCCTGAGAGAACAGTGTTTAAAGAGATTTAACAGCTGCATAGCTCTTTTAGCATAAGTTGCCTTGATGGTTGACGAAAGCTTTACCCTGGACAACTCATCTTATAGATTCTTAACATCTATATTAGTATTTATATATGTATGAAGGTCTTTTTTGCAAGAAGAAATAGTGACTCTATGCTTAAATAGAAGTTGGTTAAGATATATCTATAAATATTCCTATGCAATTCTTTTATACATTTGACTTTCATGAAAGAGTCAGGTAAAGCCGTGTGAGAAATTAAGGAACAATTTCATTAAATGTATTTAAACAACAAGTCACTCAAATCCCAACGAGGTTCGTAGGTTCACCTACCCAACGATCCAATTAGGGATAGTTTTTCATCTTTTTAAAGCTCCCGCAGTTGCAGCAATTATCGATTTATTCAATATGAACTATATTTTTATAGCCCACTCAATATTGATGTCTTGCGACATTTGTTGTTCTGTTACTTTGACTGTTTCGTGTTTTATATTTGTCACTTTTATGGCAGATAATAAAAAACAGTCAATAAAATATACTAAAGAAAAGATGACTAAGATCTTTATATTAAAGAGTGATTAAGTTGAAGTATCATTGAAGAGAAGATAAGACGAAAAATATGTGGAATATGATTTCTAAATAAATGAGAAGTGTTTAAAGGAAATATAAGAACTGCACACTTCATGTTCTCATTCAGTATTCAATATGCTATATAGTTCTACAATTTTTTTCCATTGCGCTAAATTGTTTCCCTCTTCAAACAAAACAAAATAAGGCTCTGTATCACTTTAAAAAATTATTTCTCAATTTTTTTGAAAGCAAAGTTTTAGAAGAGGTATGCCGAAAATTGGTCATCAGAATAGCGCAATTAGCGATGATTTTATTTGGTTTTTTTTATTAGGATTTAGAAGCTAATAATAAATATATTTATTATAACTGAATAAAATAATGAGCACAATGTAGCAGAGCTTATAAAGAATTTGCATGTATTTATACATATATTCTAGACACATTTATCAAGCTCTGTTTAAGCTGAACAATAAACCTATTTTGTAAATATTACTAAATTAAATAAACAAATAAATTATCAGCAAATGCGAGAACTATGTGAACTAGTCTAGAGCTCATAAGTTAACACAGTCGGGAGAGTCTGCAGAGAAAAGAACTGAAATAGGGTATATAATAAATATCAACAATAAAAGCTTTGCTATGATTTAAAATTTCTGACATTCTGTTAAAATTAATATTAAGACAACAGTGCATAGCCCATTTATCAGATTCAATGTAACAGAAAATCTGAAAATTCAAATGTCAAACTTAAGCTGTTCGACAAAATATATAAATTAATGACAAAATTATTATAAATGAAATTGAAATTATAGAAAATTCGGAATTATAAAATAATATTTTAATAATATTCAAAACAGCTTATGTAATAAATAAGCCATATTCCTGCACTCTCATATTTCCAGGGTATATTGCCCTGCGCTACAGCAGGTCAATGCGTGAGTGCATAAATTTGCTCGTCTAGGGACTCGAACTTAGCAAAGTGTTTTTGCCATTTTTCTTGGCCATAAAATTAACGCTTTATATGAATGCGGAAGGCATGAGGCGACGGCGATCTTATCGCAATATAACCAAAAACAAGGCAAAACAAGTGGCGACAGCAGCCGAGGAAAATTGCCACTCATAAGGGAATAAAATGTTTAGTGTTGAGTAACGGAGATGAGTGCTTAACGATGTTGAATGGCTGACTTATTAGGAACGTGCACACGGGGCGTATACACTGAGAGAAAGCATGGGGCAAATTAAAATTGACTATAAAATTTAATAAACTCAGACTTTTGGCTCAACTTCAACTCGATTCTAGCTGCAAAACTCACAGCACGCTTCTCCAAGTGTGTTTTTGGTCAACTCAACTGAGCTGTGCGCCTGCTGTCAGTATAGAGTGTAATAGTGTTAGTTGTGTATTAGTGAACGCAGGCAGTTTTCATATAGTGTGTCATAAAAAAGTAATAAGACGCGAGCTGAAATTCAAAAAACGTCCGTTTCGCATAAAGAAGTAGAGAAGGCGCGTTAAAAATTTTAAATACGTATCAGATTTTATCAATAAATATATTCACATATATATAAATAATTATATATATATATATATATCCATATATGTATGCATGTACATATATTCATATGTATATGTGTATCGAAATCAGTTAGGCAGACGTAAAAATAATGCTTCTGGCCAAACAGAACAGTTTCAATATGCTGGACAGCGATACTGACATGCAGGCCGACACGCTATCCAGTTCCAGTCAGGAACTTAAGTCCTACTCAGATGGCGAAATAAATAAGGCGACCAATCAACTACCACAGCAGCAGCAACAACAGCAGCAGCAACAACAGCAGCAGCAACAGCAGCAGCTGCAACTGCAGCAGCAACAGCAGTTGGTCCATTTGCCATTTAAGCATCCTCTTGAGCATACCTGGACCTTGTGGTATTTGGAGAATGATCGCAGCAAGAGCTGGGAGGATATGCAAAATGAAATAACTAGCTTTGATATGGTCGAAGATTTCTGGAGTCTATACAATCACATAAAGCCACCATCCGAGCTGAAGATTGGCAGCGATTACTCGCTTTTTAAAAAGGGCATACAGTAAGTGTTGAGATCGATAGCCCTAATGGGCAGGAATATTTAGATTTGTTGGGCTTACAATTTGAAGCAAATGTAGAACTTATATATAGAAGAAATTATATCGTAGAAGGTATATATATATATTCCTGATTTAGATTTGTCTCTTTCGTATTTCCGTGTCTTTAGAACTAAGATGATATTTTACACGTTCAAGCGCAGCTCTGGTTATGTTTCAAATCATCAGTCCAATCAAATTTGTATTAAGTGTTTCCCTAAAGTATATACAACTTCCATAAATACGCCACCTCAGCTACTTTACCCACTGATTCCAATATACCCACAGGGTATTTGCTAGTCAGTCACTCCCTACTTAACCTCCCAGCTCTTTATAGACATGTTCAATGTTTAAGCATATGCAAGAGTTAATGCTTGAACGTAGTAAGTACGTACAATAAAATCTCCATTAACAAACTTATTAAGCGTAAATCAGCTTTCATCTGGCAGACTTCAATTAAATATTTAGAGCGCAAAGCGTCTCGAATGCGTCACTTGTAGGCCAGCTATATATGCTTTAAGTACACCTATAGACAGTCCACATGTAAGACAATGTTTACTCCATAACAGCTACCATAAGTAAACCTCTATTTTGATCGTAATGGAAGAGATTTGACAATAGTTTTTCGTTTTCCCTTTGACAGACCTATGTGGGAGGATGAGACGAACAATGATGGCGGTCGCTGGGTCATCAGCATTGGGCGCTGCAGCAAATTGGAGCTGGACAAGCTGTGGCTGGACGTGGTAAGTTGCCCATTGGCAGCTTGTCTGCCTGCTGACCAGCTGACGTTCTAATCTATGAAGCTTGTTGCAGCTGCTAATTCTGATTGGTGAGGCTGTTCAGCATACCGAGGAAATCTGTGGCGCTGTCATCAACTTGCGCAGCAAGAGCAACAAAATCTGTAAGTAGACAGTATGCTGTGCCCAGAGCTTCTCCAGTTTTGTCAGCTATCAGGTTTTCCCCCCTCCCCCTCCCCTCACCCATTGCGCACCGTTTTGCCGCTGCAGCGATTTGGACTGCCAACGGGCACAACGAGGCAGCCGTCATGGAGATTGGCTACAAGTTGCGTAAACTACTCGGCCTGCCGCCCCACAATCTCCAATACCAGATGCACAAGGACTCGATGAGCAAACAAGGATCGCTGGTGAAAGCCGCTTACATACTCTGAGCCACGTATGATATTAAGTTTTGCTTTGCCAGCCTGTTGTCGCAAATTCATTTCAACTAGTCACTTCTAAACGTCCCCACTTTCCAACTCCAATCTCTCTCTGTCTCTCTTTTTTTCTCTATATATTAATGTATATAAGGCAGTTGACTGCGCGTGTATTCCAAAAATGTAAAAAAAAAAAACCAAAAAACAAAAAATATTAAAGGTTTAATTGATTGGAGACATTAAAATTTTCTGCAAAGCATCGAAAACTGTGTGAAATCTATAACAAATGCTTATTTTTATGTTTTAATCATTTTTTTAATACCCAACAATAGTAGAAATGTAGAAAGTCCTGCACATAATATTTAGCTTTGATCATAAATCATTTAAAGCTAAAGTTTCAAAATGAATATGACAATATAAAAAATATATGATAAGAATAAATATATAGAAATTGTTTTTTTTTCTAAATCCAACAAATTCTTAGCGCAGATATACTTATTTCTATGATATATATATATTATTTGCATTTTTTGGAAATATTTACAGGGTTTTGTAAATATTTCCAAAAAAATGCAAATTCTTTTGTAAATATTGAAACATAAAAACAACTGTGTAGAGAGTGATTTATTTTGCTGGACTATCAAATTCACTTATATTCTGTCACGGATTTTTCCATCTTTTATTTATTGCTTTTATTGTTATTCTTGCTTTCAGCTCTTTTATAATGTTTCCCTTTTTCATTTAGTTTGAATTATACTTAATATTATTTTTATTATTTAAAATTGCATTTAAGATTATTTATAATTTTTTTGCAAGTTTTCCGTTAACACCCTTCAATTGAATCATGGTCAAATAATATCCTTGACTATCTTTGCTGCGGCAAAGCTGCTCAGTTGAGCAAAAAAATACTAATGTTACGTTTTTCTGTATGGCTTCGGGCAATATTTAATATTTTAGTTATGGCTTTTTTCATTCAAATAATTTAATACTGTAAAAAATATAAAAAATTAATGTAAATGTTTAATCAAAGGATAATGCAAATGATTGTGTACTTACATACAAAATATACTAACAAATATTTTTAAAAATATTCTAAAAAATATTCCACGTTTTAAATAATGAAAAAAAAATGTTTAGTACCTAATGAGTGTAAGCAATATTCCTTCAAAATAATTATGCTTTTTTATTAAATTTCCTGACAGCCAAGCTTAATGAACGATGTCACAAACAAATATCAAAAGAAATGACTAAAAAATATGAATTAAAAACAACTAATGAGAGTAAATAATACTCCTTGAAAATAATAAAGTTCTTTTTGAAATTCTATACTGCAATCGCGAGAATTTTTTGTTCAATTAAATTTTCAATGCATTCAGAAGCACATAAATAAAAAATACTGTCAAAAATACTGCACACTCTATGGAATTTTATGCAAACATATGCAGCACTCGACGAGCTGGGCAAATAAAACGCGCCAAATGAAAAAGTACAAAAGAAATATTAAAAAAAAAAGAAAAAACTGAAAGAAAAGGAGAAAATAATAAACGTCGCATAGTTATTTCGTTAGAAGTGGCGGCACAGACACAGTGACTGCAAAAGATATATGCCCACTTGGGTTGGCTGGCCAAGCGCGCAGAGCTCAAGACAAAAAGGGTCAACACAATGGATGATGCCGCTGCTGCTGTTGCAAGTGGCATCGAGTGCTGCAAAACGTAAATTGAAACAATTGCATTTTGATGAAAAATGCAGCGTGTGGCATGCAACGTTCAATTGGAAATGCACCACTTATGACAAATAGAAGAGAGGCGACTAGAGAGCGTGTAGGAGTAGCTAGCTTATGGGGCACGTGCCACACGGCAGCTACTTGAGGCAACTTCATTATGAGGCAACTTAAGTTGACAAAACTATCATCAAACTTGCACCTGTACCGTTGTACGTCTCAGACTGGCTGTCGCGTTTTGATGGGGCTTAGTCGCTGCTGGCAATGACTACTGTACGATGAATGTGGCATCAAAACCGCGCACGTGCCACATGTCAGGCAGCTGCCGCCACCGCCGCTACAGTCGCCTGCCTTCAACTTTGACATATTGCACACACACACGTAGGATTATCAGGCACAGGTAATCGTTGCCCCATGCTCCTACCTGTGCCCGCAGCCCGAGCAAAATTTACAAATTAGTTGCTCGAAACGTGACTTGAAAATTGTTGCAGTTAGTTTTTTGGCATTTGCAAATGCTGCTGCTGCTGCTGCTGCACAACTTTTGCAACATGCAACTTAATTACTAAATAAATAAATTATATTGCAATTAGTTAAGTTCTCTCTGTGCGCGCGTGTGTGTGAGTGTGTGTGTGTGTGTGTGTGTATGTAATAAATGTGAATTGTTATTTTAAGCTTTGTTCATATTGATTTGACTTTGCGTGCGCGTCGATTAATTTTGCATGTTTGTCGAGGCTTAATTGCGACTTTGTTGCATGTTTCAGCGCACAGGGTGACACATGCTCTAGCCACAGACTGAACTAGCTGTGCTGACTGAAGTTAATTGATTGGCTGTCAACATGCGGCTAACGCAGAGACTCGGATCAATAACAGAGCTTTGAGTCGCTTATGCTGACAGCTTTAGCTGATTATAGAAATGTTAACAGGGATTTGGGCTAACGCTTCACATAGGCTGAGCAATATCATAATGTTTGGGCTTATTCAAAATGAGTTATGAAACTATTCAGTTGCTGTTCGTTCAAAAACAGAAACAAAGTAAGCAGTCACTCTGAAGTTGGTTGTCTCTGGTCTGATCACAACTATTTATCATGCAACACATTGAAAGGACTGCTATATTAAAGCGCTCTCTGCTTTTGCATGTGAGTGTTCGAGGCGCGCATCAATGCCTTCAAACCTCACTCACAAGAGATAATGAAATTATGGGAATTTTTTATAAATGCTTTCTTGATTTTCCTATACTCTTCTCTCACGGCAAAGAAATGGGAAAAGTTCTCTCTGAGCTAATTTTGAGAGAGCAGAGAGGCTACACCATAGCGTAGAGAACATTGATCATAGAGCATAGAGCATAGAGCATAAGGCAAAGAGCATAAGGCAAAAAGTAAAGAGAAGAAATAAAGAATATCATAACAGAAAGCAGAAGGGGCAGAGAGTAAACAAAGTAACCCATCTTAGTAAAAGCCTCGACACATAATGATTGTGTGAGAAATTCCTAAATTTTGTTGATCGAGCTTAAAAGTTATGAAAACGATCAATTACGAAATTTTGCGTGGAAGAACTGTGTTCCATATATACATTTCATGCCTTATATGACACACTTTAAGACTGAGTTGCTTTGATCGCGTTCATGGAAGGACGTCATTTAAAAATCGACCAGCTCAGACGACAGTTCGAGGCGCACTGATTGAATCAATCTCACAACAAATTCTTTAACTTAAATAATTTCCTCAGCAGTTGTTCATCGTCTTTGGTTAATTCAACCTCGCAAGGGAAACGATCAAGAACGAAGTTCAGCGACAACTACTGAAGAAATTTTGAGTATTAAAGAAGTTGTCGTCGATGTGTTATAGAAATGCTTTCTCTCTGATCGAACCAAAGGAACTCCCTTGCCTTGATCGCTGGCCAGCTTTAAGCTTTGTCCGTTCTCATGATTGTAACATGAGCCAGCAACAAGGCCATCAGCTCATTACCAAAGTTCAAATCAATTGAATAATCTATTTAAGCCATTAAAATATCTCAACTTTAGCAGCAGTCATAACTTGAGAGCTAGCGGCAAATGCCATTGCAAACTAGAACAATTTAAGCCAGCGTATGGCAGCTGGGAGCAATCGTAAGAGTCATAAACATAGTTGAAACTGATTTGCAGTAACGCAATTACTGGTAAATTGCTAGATAATCATGTACAATTAGAATGTGTCTACCCGAAATGAATTGTTAAGTTTTGCTATTGTATTTTTGTTACTTGTATTATTTTGCTGTTGTTGTTGTTGTTCTTATTCGAGAGCGTCTGGCTCATCTCTCACATATATCAACACATTTCATGCAGTGCGCAGCGAGACAGAGAGCGGGACTCGAGCTTCAGTTGGATTTTTATTGCCACAGCTGCTGACCCAAGCACCACAAACTAACACCACCCACAACTAACCTTTGCTTATGCCATGTATTGTTGTGGTTCTGGCTCTGGCTCTGGCTCTGGCTCTGCTCACAGTTGCTTGTTGGCTGGATTTTTATATATTCTTCTGTTTTTTTTGGGCAAAGCAACGCAACGCAACGCAACACAACATAAAAATAAATTGCACTTCTGACACTTAAATACAGTTGAAAAGCGGGTGGTTGGGCGGTTGGGTGGTTGGCTCACAGGCAGTCGTCGACGGCGGACACATGATTAAGTGGAGTTTGTGGTTCGCTCTTTTGCGCTTGGGAATACGCATGTAAATCTATTTCAGTATACATTATCGTCGTCCAGTTGAAGCTTAACTTTTATCATATAATAAAATGTAATTTTCCAACTCGTAATTCTCTGGTAATTAGAATTTATAGCAATCTTAATCGTTTTTGGCAGCCCGGAAACAAGCAGACAACAGCCAAAAGCCAACGCCGAGTGCGCCTCTTCTTATATTTGTTTGTCCGGCCTGGCTCGGCCATCTATTTTATTCATAGAATTTCATTAGCCTGGAGACTGAGTCTCTGCGAGCGGAAAGCGAAAAAATGTTACGACTTATTTGTTATTAAAATACTCGGCGCACACCTGGACCGCACCTTTTGTGTTAACCGCATCAATGCCAAGCATTTGCAAATTAAATATTAATAAAATAAATTCCAGGCATATAACTGAAGAGAATTTGCATTTTTTACAAAATTTTCCATTTCGAATTAATAGGAATTTATGACGCCCGCAAAAACAAGATGCCAACAACTGGGCGTATTTACAAATATATATATAGAGGGAGAGCGTCAGAGACATAACAAGATGAAAGAGAGAGCGGACACTCGCGCGCGCCTTTCTGCAAATATTTTGGGGCTAAAAATATTATTGCTATTCGAAGATTGTAGTAGCTACGGCCAGCTCCTTTTACAGAACACAAAATTCTTGTGTGCTCTATATGCCAGACAGCGCTGGAATGTCTGCCTCAGTGAGCACTAAAGGAAAACACAAGAAACTGGCCGTGGCTTCGGAATGTAGAAGCAGCCAATACCCTATAA